CAGCTGCTCCAGGCGCTCCAGGATGGACAGACGGAACTGGGTCTCTGGGGGAGGGGGGGTCAGGGTTGAGGATGGGAACACAGAACCCCCCCTTTAAACTCCCCACACACCCCCCCCAGCCCCAGATGAAGTCACCCCAGCCCCCCCGGCCCCAATCCAGGTGGAATCCAGGTGCCCCCCCCATCCTGGGGGCATCTCTCGGGGGTCCCCACTCACCATCCAGCGCCAGCCAGTCCATCTGTGTCCCGGGGGGGCCCCTCACGGCCCCCCGTGCCCGGTACTCGAAGGGGGCGGCGGCCGTGAGCAGCCGGGGGGGACAGGCCACGCGCAGGGCGGCCACACCGGCCTCGTGGGCTGCGGGGGGACACGGGGGGGTGTCAGCCCCAGGGGGGGCTGCCAGCCAGACCCCCCCTCAGGGACACTCACGGGGGCAGTAGCAGCGCAGGACGCCCGGCTGGACCAGCGCGGCCGGGACCGAGGTGCGGTCGAAGAGGCAGGAGTAGGCGCCGGGGTCCCCCCACGGGCCCGTGATCAGCACCTTCACCCCGCCCTGGGGGGACACGGGGGGGTCACTGGAGGGCCGCTGGGGACACGAGGGGGGTCACCGGGGGGGGGGATACCCCTCGAAGCGCTCACCTCGGGGTAGGACCACTCTGGGGAGAAGTCGGTGATGGCCACGGGGGCGTCGGTGGGGGGGGCCGGGGGGGAAGGAGGAGGGTGGGGCGTGAGGGGCGGCTCGTGGGGGTCAGGGGGGACCCTGTGCGGGTTTGGGGGGACTCCGGCATCCCCCCCCAGCAGCTCGGGGAAGGGCAGGGGGAAGGGGTGCTGTGGGGGGGCCACGTTGAGCTCGCAAGGGGGGTCCTGGAGGGCCACCCCCGGTTTTCCCTCCTCCTCCTCCTCCTCCTCGCCCCCCCCTGGTTTTGGGGGCACCACGGGGGGCGGGGGGGGCGCGCCGGGGGGGGGGCCTCAGCCTCGCAGCCGTAGGTCTGCCCGCGGCGGGGGCTGTTGAGGAAGCAGTCGGGGTCGAAGGCGGCGGGGGGGGGGCGGCGCCGTGGGGCAGGTGCCCTCGGGGGTCACCAGGTGCTGGCTGGGGGTCAGGCCCAGCGGCTGCTCGGGCCCCCCCGGCGCCGCGCCCCCCCCCAGGCTGCTCACCACCAGCAGGGGCAGGGGGAACGCGGGGCCACCACGGGGCCCCTCGGGGGCCGCCACGCCCCCGCCCAGGCCGGGGGAGGGCTGGGTGGTGTCGGGGGAGGAGGGGGCAGGTTTGGGGGCGTCCCCCGGCACGCCCCCCCCCCCGCCCCCCCGCTCCACTTTGGGGGAGATGATGCGGTGCTTGGTGCTGCCGCACTTGTGGCCAGGGGTGCCTGTGGGGGGGAAGGGGGGTTGACGTTAGAGAGGGACAGGGAGGGTTTGGAAGGGGGGATTTCAGGGTCCCAAGGGGAATTCAAGGGGAATTTGGGAGCATCCCAATGGGATTTGGGGGTCCCGAGGGGGGTTCAAGAGGGGAGTGTCCCCAGGGATTCCGGGCAGTCCCAAGGAGGTCCAAGGGAGGGTTTGGGGGGTCCCAAGGTGTTGGGAGGGTCCCAAGGGGGTTCAGGGGGTCCCCAGGAGGGTTAGAGGAGGTCCCAGTGGGTTTGGGGGGTCTCAGGGAGGGTTCTGCATCCCAGGAAGGGTTCAAAAGTTTTCCCCAGGAGTGGTCTGGAGATGTCTCAGGGAGTTTGGGAGTCCCAGTGGGGATCCCCAAGGGTTTGGGGGTCCCACAGGGTTGGAGGTGCCCCAGGGAGTCCCCGTGGGGTCCCAGGGCATTGTGGTGTCCCGGGGACAGTTAGAGGTGCCCAGGGGTGGTGGGGGGTGCCCGGGGGCAGTCGGGGGTCTCACCCAGCCCCCCGGCGCAGAGGCAGGCGTGGGTGCGGGGGGGTGGCCGGGCCTGGTGCCGCTCCAGGACGTGCTGCACCAGCTGCTCCAGGGACAGCCCGGGGGGGCCCCCCCCATTCCCGCAGCCCCACTTCACCCCGTGGACTGCGGGAGAAGGGGAGCAAAATCCCTCAGGAAGGTGGATGTGGGGGGTGTGTCCCCCTACCCAGCACCCCCCCCCAAATAGCCACACCTCCCCTGCCACCCCAACTACATCCTGAGTGAAAGCAGGAGCAAAATCTCTCACGAAAAGAGTTGTGGGGTGTCCTCCCCAGCCCCACCTCACTCTGTGGGCCGAGCGAAAGGTGGAGAACAAGTACACAAAAAAAGAAGTTTTAGGGAGTCCCTCCTCCAGCCCCTCCAAGAAGAGCCAGTTCCCCCCTGCCCCATTCCCACAGCCTCGTTTCACCCCAAGGACCGGGGGTAGAATCCCGCAGGGAAGGTTTCCGGGGTGCCCCCCAGCCCACTCACACATGGGGCGCAGCTGGGCCACCAACTCCTCCTGGGACCACTTGAGCCACTCTCGGGGGTCGGCGGTGGCGGCGCAGATCGGGGGGGTGCAGAGGGGGGGGCTGCAGAGGGGGGGGGCGCAGGGCCGGCCGCACTCCTCCATGGCCGGCACGTTCAGGTAGTGAACCAGGACGATGTCGGGGTTCTGGGGGCGACACGGACGGGTTCGGGGGGGCTGGGGGAGCCTGGGGGCGGTGGGGGGGTCCCTGTGCCCCCCCCTTACCTGCAGCAGCCAGTAGCAGCGGCGGTGGAAGGTGGGCACGATGGAGGAGTGGACGTAGCAGCCGTAGAGGCACTGGGGGGACAGCACAAATTGGGGGATCTTCCCACCCTGACGAGACCCACAGACCAGCCTTTGGATCCCCGCTGGGGAGGCCCTCACATCCCCAAATGACCAAGTAAGGGGCTCAGACCCTCAGCTGCCCGGCTGGGGGAGCCTAACACCTCCAAACTGCCCCCCGGGGGTCCCCATCACCACCAAACCACCAACTGGGGGGTTTCCCAACATCCCTAAACACACAGCTGGGGATCCCGGACACCCTAAACCACCCTCCTGGGGGTCCCCAGCAGCCCAAAACCTTCCCTGGAGAGTACTCAGCACCCCCAGATCCCCCCTTTGGTGCCCTGACACCCTCAAGCCCCCATCCCCAGCCGCTCCCTCCCTGCTCCCCACACCCAAACCAGAGACTGTTTTATGGGGGAGCATTTTTTCAGGGTGCCAGGTGTTTTCAGGGGAGAGGTGTGTTTCGGGCTCCCCCCTCCTCCTACCTCCACCCCCTGCACCTTCAGCTTCATGTGGTCCTCACGTGTCGTCTTCCCATCCTTGCGCTTCTTCCAGCAATACCCGTCCTTGCGGTACTTCACCTTCTTCCGGTTGTACAGGATCACCGACCCATTCTGCGGCCTGGACAGCGGTCAGGTACCCCCGGCACCCCATGGCACCCGCAGCCCCTCCATGGCACCCACAGCCCCTCCATGGCACCCACAGCCCCCAAGGACACCGCCCGGGGCACCCCACGGCCCCCCCACCTGGTTTTGGGGGAGCACGAGAGCCACTCGTCGTGTTTCTCGAAGGTGATGAGGTACGAGGCGATTTCCTGGGGGGAGGAAGGGGGGGCGTGGCCCATTTGTGTCACACGTCACCTCCTGTCCCCCCCACTGTGTCACACTGTTGTTCCACCCCTGCTGTCACACTGTTCTCATCATCCTTGACCCCATTGTCCTGATGTCCCCCTGTCCCCAGCCTACCCGTTCCCTCTGTCCCCTCAGTGTCCCTTCCCTATGCCCCCACATCCCCTCCCATGTCCCCACATCTCATCTATGTCGCCTGTGTCCCTTCCGTGCCCCCTTCCCCTGTCCCCACATCCCCTTCTGTATGTTCTCCGTGTCCCCATGTCCCCCCATGTCCCACCGTGTCCCTCCCATGTCCCCCCCATACCCCTCCCACCTCGTTGGTGTTCCAGCGCAGCTGCTCCTTGGGCAGGACGGGGCATTTGGGCAAACACTCCACCAGCTTCCGGGGCAGGAAAACCTTCAGGTGGCTCCTCTCTGCCAGGGGGAGCGGTGAATGTCCCCCCTGTGTGTGTCCCCGTCCCCTGTGTCCCCCCGTGTGTCCCCTTCCCCTTACCAGAGACCTCGGGGGGGTCCTTGCTGCTCATCTCGGGGGGTGTGCGGGGCCCTCAGGGCTCCCCTTGGGGGGCACAGGAAGGGCTGGGACCTGCAGGGACAGGGGTCACCCCCCCCAAAAACGGGTGATGGGGTGAGGGGACGTGAGGGGGAAATGGGACCAGGACACCATCACCATCCTCGGCACCCCTGCCCCACACCCTGGGGCCCTCAGCCCCCAGCATCCCATCCCATCCCTTGTCCTACAGCACCCCACAACCCCCCCATCCCATCCCATCCCATCCCATCCCATCCCACCCCACATCCCTATCATACAGCACCCCCTATCCCTGCCCCATGACATCCCACATTCCTGCCCCAAATCCCACCACATCCCCACCCCATGACACCCCACATCCCTGCCCTATACCCCCCCCAACCCCAGCCCCCTGGCAGACCCATACGCCCCCCCAGACACCCCGCATCTCCCCCTCAGCCCCACCTCCCGGCTCCCCTCCATCCCCGCCCCACAGCCCCCCCCTCCCCGCCCCACACACCCCCCCCTTCCCGCCCCCCGGCCCCGCCCCGGCCCCCCCGGCCCCACCTGCCGCCTCAGGGCCGCGGCCGCCGCCGCCCTCGCCCCCGCCCCCGCCGCCCGCCGCCATCTTCCCGCCCGCCGGGGGCCAGCGCCGGCAGCGCCGCCGGCGCGTGACGTCAGTGCGCACGGGGGCGGGGCCGCGGGGTGTGGGCGGGGCCGCGCGTCGTTTCTGAGGTTATTAGTTTAATGAGTGGTGCGCGTCTGCCGGAATGTTCGGAATTCTGTCAAAAATATGCTTCTGCTCGAAAACATCGAACATACTGACTCGGACAGAAAATGAGAGAAGAAAAGAAGGAATGAAGAAAAAAGTGTGCGGGGCAAAATGAGGCGAAAAGGGGGGAAAGCATGAGGAAAAATTGAGAAAAGTATGATAAAATCTGAAGGGAAAATGGCAAAAGTGAAGGAGAAAGGGCAGGAAAACGTAAGGGGAAAAGCTGGGAAAAGCGCGAGAAAAAAAGGTGGGAAATTGTGAAACGAAAAACTTGGGAAAATGTGGCGGGAAAATTTGAAAATCTTGAGGGGAAAAGGTGCGAAAAACGTGAGAAGAAAACGCGACAATTACGAACGGCCAAAGGCGGGAAAATCCGCTCCGGGCGTGGCCCCACCTGCCCCACGGTGCCCCTTTAAGAAACTTTACCTTCGTTACCCGTTTAAGTGGGGGCGTGGCCCCGCGCCCCGCCCCTCACGCCAGGCCCCGCCCCCCGGGCCCGGGCGCGGCCGCAGCGCCGGAGCCGCCGCCGAGCCCCGGGCGGGAACGGGACGGGCCCGGGGGCACCGGGAGGGAACGGGACGGGCCCGGGGGCACCGGGAGGGACCGCGGCGGCCCGGGGGTCCCGGCCCGGGGGCATGAGGCACTGCTGGGCAGGTGGGCTGGCGGCCGCGAGGGCGTGGGGGCAGCTTTAGGGTCTCTCAGCTCTCTGGGAACGGGCGTAGGGGGGGTCCCAGGGGTGTAGGGGCAGGTTTAGGGGAGCTACAGGGGGGTTCTGGGGGGTCTCAGAGGCATAGGGGCAGGTTGGGGAGGGCTATAGAGAGGTTCTGGGGGGTCCCAGGGGCGTAAGGGCAGGTTTAGGGAGGCTATAAGGGGGTTCTGAGGGGTCCCAGGGGCATAGGAGCAGGTAGAGGGGGACCCTGGGGGGCTCTCAGGGGTGTAGGAACTGGGTCTAAGGGGCTCCCGGGGGCACAGGGATAAATTTAAGGGGATTATTGGGTGGTTTGTGGGTCTCCTGGGGGGGCAGGTTTAGGAGGTGCCATAGATGTGTAGGGGCTGTTTTACGGGGACAGGCAGGGAGCTTGTGTTTGCTCAGGGGCCTGAGGAGCAGGTTTGGGTGAGCTGTTAGGGGGGCTTGGGGGGGTCTGAGGGGTGTAGGGGCAGGTTTAGGAGGACTATAGAGAGGCTTGACGGGATCTCAGGGGTGTAGGGGCAGTTTAGGGGAGCTGTAGGGGGCTGATCCCAGCACTGGGGTTCCACGGGGTCATGGGGTCACAGCCTTTGACCTCCATGGGGGAGGCTGAGGCCTGAGGGGGGTGGGAGCCCCCCATTTTGGGTGGCTCACTGACGGGCAGGGGCTGTCACGTGCTGTTTACCCTGACCTGGGGTCACCTGGGGACAGGGGGATTGCAGAGGGGCTCCTCATCCCCCTCTTCCTCCCTCTCTCCCCCCAGTCCCAACCTTTGCCCCCAGCCCTGACCTTTGACCCTCCCAAGGTGCTGCCTGCATTTCGAGGGGGCTGGGGAGGAGTTTGGGGGGGGCTCTTTTCCCCCCCCCCCCCCGCCCCCCCCCCGCGTGGCACCGCCCCGGGTTATTTTTAGGGCTCTCCTTGGCCAGGAGTGAGGGAGGGACACGGATCCGGCCCCCCCCCTTCCTCCCGGTGGGTCCGGCCGGGACGTCACTGGTGCGTGGGGGTGGGTGGGGGTCCCCCAGACCTCGTGGGGGGGTTCTGGAGGGAGTGTGACGTCCCTCTGTCGCGACAGGGTGACGCTGTGACGGGCATGGCGGGCGCCTCGGTGAAGGTGGCGGTCAGAGTCCGGCCCTTCAGCGCCCGCGAGAGCAGCCGCCAGGCCAAGTGCGTCATCCAGATGCGAGGAAACACCACGTGTGAGTGGGGGATCGCGTGGGAGGGGGTCCCCAGTGGGAGGGGGGACACCCCCACGGGGCAGGGGGGACCCCCCTCCGGTCCCTGTCCTTGTCCCGTGCTGGCCACTGGCCCGGAGGACCAGCTGCCGCCAGGCTAAAAATAGCAACTGAGAGGGCTGGGGGGGGGTGGTGATGGTGATGGGGGGGTGAGGGGGACACGGGGGGGTGACAGCGATGTCGGGGTGGTCCCCCCAACCTGCTTCCACCTGCCAACCCCAGGCATCACCAACCCCAAGCTCCCTAAAGACGGCACCAAACACTTCACCTTCGACTACTCCTACTGGTCCCACACCTCGGTGAGTGCCAGGAGGGGCGTGGCGGGGCTCGGGGGGTTTTGGGGTGTCCCTAACTCACCCCCCTCGCAGGAGGAGGACCCCAACTTCGCCTCACAGCGCCGGGTGTACCAAGACATCGGGGAGGAGATGCTGGCACACGCCTTCGAGGGCTACAACGTTTGCATCCTGGCCTACGGCCAGACCGGCGCCGGCAAGTCCTACACCATGATGGGGCGGCAGGAGCCCGGGCAGCGTGGCATCATCCCGCAGGTCTGGGGGTCCAGGGGGTCCCCGGGGGGCTCTGGGGGGTACCGGCCCCCCCACACTCCCTGGCTCAGCGCTGCTCACCCACAGCTCTGCGAGGATCTGTTCACCCGCGTCGCACGGGAGGGGTCCCCCGAGCTCTCCTTCTCCGTGGAGGTGAGGGGGCTTTGGGGGTTCAGGAGGGGTCCCCCGAGCTCTCCTTCTCCGTGGAGGTGAGGGGGCTTTGGGGGTTGGAGGGGCTCCCTGGCTTGCAGATGCCCCGTGGGTAATTTGGGGGTTCATCCTGAACCCCCCTGCCTTGCAGACTGCCCCCCCACACACCCCAGCAGTTTGGAGGTTCATCTGCCCCCTACCCTAACATCTTGGGGGCTCAGCTGTCCCTCTGCCCCAACAGTCAGGGGGCTCACCTTCCAACTCACCCTCAGCCTGGGGGTTCCTCCCCTCAACCTTTCAGGGGTTCACCCCCCAACCCTGGCCATGTTGGGACCCCCCCAGGTGAGCTACCTGGAGATCTACTGTGAGCGTGTGCGGGACCTGCTGAACCCCAAGAGCCGGGGGGGGCTGCGGGTGCGGGAGCACCCCCTGCTCGGGCCCTACGTGCAGGACCTGTCCCGCCTCGCCGTCGCCTCCTTCGCCGACATCGCCGACCTCATGGACAGCGGCAACAAGGCCAGGTGGGGGCACGGGGGCACCCCCAGCCCCCCAGACACTGAGGGTTCCCCCAAACCCCACCCGGACACTGAGGGTCCCCCCAAAATCCCTCCCCAGGACGGTGGCGGCCACGAACATGAACGAGACGAGCAGCCGCTCGCACGCCGTGTTCACCATCGTGTTCAGCCAGCGCCGCCGAGACCCGCTCAGCGACCTCACCACGGAGAAGGTCAGGGCTGCCCCAAAATCACCCTGAGACCCCCGGAGTCACCACCCAAAATCCACCCCAGACCCCCCCAAAGTTCCCCTGAGCCACCCCAATCCCCCGAGTTACCCCAAAATCCCTGCTGAATTCCCCCATGTCCCCAAACTCACCATAAAATATCCCCAAATTTCTCTCAAGTCCCCTGCAAATATCCCCAAATTCCCCCCGCATCCCTTCCAGACTCCTCCCAAATCCCACCCAATTCCCTTTGCTCCCTCAAACTACCCCTGCAATCCCCCAATCCCCTGAAACCCCTCAAAATCCCCTCATCCCCACATTTCCCCCCCCCAATCTCCCCCAGACCCCCCCAACCCCCCCTGCCCCCCCAGGTGAGCCGCATCAGCCTGGTGGACCTGGCGGGCAGCGAACGCGCCGATGCCTCGGGGGCCAAGGGCATCCGCCTCAAGGTGAGAGGGGACCCCCAGAACCCCCCAGAAAGAAGGGGTGCCCCTCCCTGCCCGTCCAAGCCTTCCTCCCCCTTCTCCCCCTCCCCAGGAAGGTGCCAACATCAACAAGTCTCTGACCACTCTGGGCAAGGTCATCTCTGCCCTCGCCGAGGCCGTGAGTCTGGGGGGGACAGGGGGTCTCACCCCCCTCCCCACAGCCCGTTGTGTCTCCCCACAACTGCGGGGTCCCCTCATTTTGGGGGGAGCACACATGACTGCCCTTTCCCTCCTCCCCACCCCAACAGACCAGCAAGAAGAAGAAGCCAGATTTCATCCCGTACCGGGACTCGGTGCTGACGTGGCTGCTGAAGGAGAACCTGGGTGGGTTTGTGGGGGCTGGCTGGGGATTGGGGGGTGAGGTTTTTGGGGGTCCCCCGCGCCCACTAAGCCCCTCCCCGCAGGCGGGAACTCGCGCACGGCCATGATCGCGGCGCTGAGCCCGGCCGACATCAACTACGAGGAGACACTGAGCACCCTGCGGTGAGCGAGGGGGGCTTGGGGGGGCACGCGGGGGGGTCCAGGGGTTAGGGGGGTTCCCAGCCCTGATCCTGGCTCCCCCCCCAGCTACGCCGACCGCACCAAGCAGATCCGGTGCCACGCGGTGATCAACGAGGACCCGAACGCGCGGCTGATCCGGGAGCTGCGCGAGGAGGTGACGCGGCTGCGGGAGCTGCTCAGCGCCCAGGGTGAGGGGCTGGGGGGGACTGGGGGGCTATGGGGAGTTTGGGGGGCTGCAGGAGGAGGTGATGAGGGGGTTTGGGGGCAGAGGGGGTTTAGGGGACAGTGTAGAAGGACTTGGGGAGCAGAGCTGTGGTGCAAGGGGGGCATTTGGGGTTTGGGGTGCAGGAGGTAACAGCCAGCCCCGCCGACCCCCCAGGTCTGCCTGACACCGCCCCCCCAGCCCCCCACACCGGGACTGACCCCACCCTCAACGGGGGACCGGAGCCGGAGCCCCCCCTGGGCGCTGCCGAGGCCATGGAGCGGCTGCAGGTGACCCCAAAACACCTCCCAGCCCCTCTCCTGCCCCAGAGGGACCCAGGAGATCCACGTCCCCCTCCCCTAACCTGTGGGGGACCCCCTGAAATCGTTCCCTGTCCCAGGAGACGGAGAAGATCATCGCGGAGCTGAACGAGACGTGGGAGGAGAAGCTGCGGCGGACGGAGGCCCTGAGGCTGGAGCGGTGAGAGGGGGCCCCAAACCCTGCCATTGCTCCCAAAACCCTCCTCAACCCCCCACAGCCCCTCTGAACTTCCTCCTGCCAGCCCCCAAATTCCCTGCAGCACCCCCAGCCCCCCCCCATGGCCCCCTAAAACCTGATCCCTCCACAGGCTTCCCAAACACTTTTTATGTACCCTTGAGCCCCCTCATGGCCCCCCCAGCCCGACACCCACCCCACTGCCCCCTAAACACCCTTGGGCCCCCCAGGCCCCCTTGGGCCCCCCTAAACCCCCTGTGCCCTCCAGGGAGGCGCTGCTGGCTGAGATGGGGGTGGCTCTGCGGGAGGACGGCGGCACCGTTGGCGTCTTCTCCCCTAAAAAGGCAAGTCAGGGGGGCTGGGGGGACCCCCCAAAACCCCACAGCCTCTTCCCCACCAGGGGGGACCCCACTCACCCTGACTTTGGGTTGGTGTTTCTTTTCTGCCCCCCTAAAAGACCCCTCACTTGGTGAACCTCAACGAGGACCCACTGATGTCCGAGTGCCTCCTCTACCACATCAAGGATGGTGTGACCAGGTGAGCAGGGGGCTGGGGCCCCCTCAAACCACTCAGGGCCCTCCTGAATCCCTCAGACCCCCCCCAGGTGCCTCGGGCCCCCCAATTTGCCCTGTGCCTCCCCAGGGTGGGCCAGGTGGACGTGGACATCAAGCTGTCAGGGCCATTCATCCAGGAGCAGCACTGCCTGTTCCGCAGCTGCCCCGACCCCTCGGGGGAAGGTACGGAATTCGGAGGGGGGGCTGCCAGATTTTGGGGTGCCTCCCCTTGCCCTGCCCTCTTCCCGCACCCCCTAATTGCTCTTTCTCCCCCCCCAAACGCTGGCACTGGAGCAGGTCACCGTGGCCCCCCCAGGTACCGCTCCCCCTGTGCCGGCGGGACGGGGGAGGGTTGGGGGGTTGGGGGTGGGATTTGGGGTCCCCCCGCCCCGGCTTAGCAGGGGGGTGACCCACCCTCCCCTCGTTGTTCCTCCCCGAAGTTGTGGTGACGCTGGAGCCGTGTGAGGGGGCTGAGACCTACGTCAACGGGAAGCAGGTGACGGAGCCGGTGGTGCTCAAGTCGGGTAGGGCCCGCCCCAAATCCCTCTTGTCTTCCCCCAAATCTCTCTGTGTTCCCCCAAATCCCTCTGTGTCCCCCAAAATCCACCCCAGATCTCTATGTGTCCCCCAAATTTTTCTTCCAGTTCATTGACATCCCCGAATCCCCCCAAAACTCCCCATGACCCTCCCAAGTCCTTACGTCCCCAGATTTCCCCTAAATCCTCTCTGTTTCCCCCAAATCCTCTCTGTTTCCCCCCCACACCCTGTTCCTAGGCTACCGCCTCATCCTGGGGAAGAACCACGTGTTCCGCTTCACGCACCCGGAGCAGGCGCGGCGGGAGCGGGAACGGGGGGCTCCCCCCGGGCCCCCCCTGGACTGGAACCTGGCACAGCGGGAGCTGCTGGAGCAGCAGGGCATCGACATGCGCCTCCAGAGGTGGGGGCACCCTCGGGGGCACTTGGGAACCCCCCAGGCACAGGCTGGGGGTCTCACCCCGTGTGTTCCCCCCGCCCCAGGCTCCAGGAGCTGGAGAACCAACCCCAGGCGGAGAAGGAGACAGTGGAGCAGCCACAGGTGAGGGGCCCCAGGGGGGAAGCTGGGGCTAATTTGGGAGTTCTGTGGGTACATCTGGGGGTCACCTGTGTCACTTTGGTGTCCTGTGAGCATTCCCGGGTGTCCCACAGGTGTCCCTTGGGTAGCTCCTGGGTGTCACAGGTGTCCCTCAGGTCCTCAGGGTGTAGCTGGGTGTCCCCTGAGTGTCACCACTGTCCCTTGCTTCCCCTCAGTGTCCCCTGGGTGTCCCTTGGGGTGTCCCCCCAGCACTACGACTGCTCCCTGGGTGTCCCTTGGGATGTCCCCCAGCTGCCTGAGCTCTGCCCTGAGTGGCCCCTGCATCCCCCCTGCTGTCCCTCCACGCACCCACCCGCTCCCCCCGTGTCCCCCCGCAGCCCCCCACGGCAGACCCCCGGTGCTACGAGGCCGGCTGGCGCCTGATCTCGTCCCTGCGCGCGGCGCTGCCGGCGCCCGCCGTGCGCTCGGTGCTGCGCCGGGCCGGGCTCCCGCTGACGGCGCCGGGCAAGCGCCGGGAGCCGCTGCGCGTCTACCAGATCCCGCAGCGGCGCCGCGGGGGCTCCTCGGCCCCCACCCCAGCCCCGGCGCCGGCCTCGCCTCAGCCCTCGTGGGTGACCATGGCCGACCTGAAGGCGCAGGCGGTGCGGGAGCTGAGCCTCGAGGTGGCCCTGCGGGAGCCGCGGCCGGCGCGGCGCGAGCTGGAGGCGCTGAGCCTGGCGCGGCTGCGCGAGCTGTGCCGGCGCCACGGCAAGCGCGAGCCCACCGAGCGCGACGGCTGGCGCGCCGTGGCCAGGGACGTGTGGGACGCCGTGGGCGGCGGCGGCGAGGACGAGGAGGGCGGCGGCGGCACCTGCGAGCAGGTGAGCGAGGTGGAGGGGCTGCGGCTGCACCTGGACAGGCTGGCGGGGATCCTGCGCGAGGTGAAGCGGCAGAACAGCGCCAAGGACGAGCAGATCCGCGCCCTGCGCGACCGCGTGGGGCAGATGGAGCGAGTCATCCCGCTGCCGCTGGTGAGGGGCACCCCCCGGGCTGAGCCCTGGCACCCACGGCCTGACCTCGGGCACCCCACGGCACCCCAAAGAGCCTTAGTGTGCCTGACCCACAGCCTGACCCACAGCCTGACCTAGGGCATCCCCCAGCCACCCCTACAGGACCCCAGATCCTGCCTGCCCCACTGCACCCCATGAACCCCTAACGTAGATCCTGCCACACACAGTGACCTGGACCTTCCCTTCCCACCCTGTGGCCCCCCCAGACACATCCCTCCCAGCCCATGCCCCCCTCCCTACCCCACAACCCCCCCAGACCTTCTCCACACCCTCCTTGCCCCCCAGACTCCCCTAACCCCCCTCTCTTTCCCTCCCCACAGGACGATGATGCCGAGGCCGAGCCCCCTGCCCAGGAGCCCCCCCCGGGCGGCCCCCCCCGGCCCGCCCGCCCCCCCCCCCCCCACCGGGCCCCGCCCCCCCCCCGCCCCCCTCGGGGCGCCCCCGCCGGGG